TTTCCAGGTGGAAACCAACCCTGGGTTTTTTTTCTCTTTCTCTCAAACACACACACACACACACACACACACACACACACACACACACATGTCCACACTCTAGGACTCCTGAGGTTTGCACTTATAGACACTTGCACTCACATGGAAATTGACTCCACCTGCCTGCAGCTCCCTCACCTTCTTGTACCCACACTCTTGCACACACCCTCTTGCAGGCAGCCTTGCTTACTCCCAGAGGAGTTGCACACTTGGAGGACAGCATCAGGATCTCTTTCTCCAGGAACAGCTGTTGATTATCCATTTGAACCTAAAATTTCTGGTCAGAGGTCCCTGTGCCTCAGCTCACTCAACTTGCTGAGAAGGCCCAGTGTCTAGGTGTTTCTACTTGAAATCTTCCCCTCCAATCACCTGTGGAGTGCTGGATCCTGCCATAAATTAATTACACCAAAGCGAGGCCTGGTGGAAGGGAGGCTTCCATTCATTCGTACAATGGGCTGTTTTGAATCCTTGTCAAGTGCCAGGCACAAGGGATCGGTGCACGGGGTACAGCAATGAACAAGGCGATGTCACTCCTGCCCTGGTCGGGCTCATAGTCATGAGGGACTGTTTGTATTCTATTGCTGCCATAACAGAATTTCCACAGATGCAGAACTACAAAACAGAACCAGTTTAGTATTTCACAGCACTGGTGGTCAGAGAAGAGGTCCAGGTTAGCTCAGGTGGTTTCTCTGCGGAGGGTCTCTCTTCTAGGGCAGAAAACAAGGTGGTGGTCAGCTGGATCTTAGTGGGTGGCTCTGGAAATAATCCACTTCCAAGTTCATTTAAAGTGTTAGAGTCCAGTTTTGGGGGGTCAAAAGGAGTAAGGTTCTTGCTGGCTGTCAGCTAGGGACCCCCTTTAGCTTCTAGAGCCTCTCTCTTGCCCTCTCTCTCCTGGACCCCCCGCATCTTACAGCCAGCAATAGCCAACCAAATTCTTCTGGGAATCACTCCGCCCTCTCCTTTTAACAGCCTCCAGCCTAAGAGAATGCTCTGCTCTCAAGAGCACATGCAATTAGCTTAGGCCCACCTGGATAATCCACGATTCTCCCGATTTTAAGTTCATAACCTAATCATGCCTGCAAAGTCCCCTTAGCCATGTGAAAACCCTATTCACAGGCTCCAGGAAATCAGGGCATGGGTGTGAATGTGTGTGTTTATGCATTCTGTCTACCATAAGGATACAGAGAACTAAACTGGGAATTGTAATATGACTAAAAAGTTGAAACAAGAGCAAGCAGCAAAGACACCACAGCCTTTGTGAGCAGGCTGGTAATGGCTTCCTTACATAGCTTAGCATCAAAGTTGAAATGTGAACAATTCTGAATCAAAGGGTTAATGCTCTCAGGCAGGCCTCAGCCTGCAGACAACTTGAAGGGGCTGTGCCCTCAGGGCTACATGTGCCTCTGTACCTAGAGCTCAGCCTGCACTAACGAGCAGGGGCATCTTTACTATCTGCTACACAGGGCTAGGCAGAGAAGCGGGGCTTGGGTGCTTAGCACCCCAGTGGCAGCCACTCTGCTGCAGACAGAGTTCCTGGTGCTGCAGCAAGCTCTCAACCAGTCACCCAGTTCCTAGGGCACTGGAGAGAGCCTGTGACCCTTCATTATGTTGCTTCTGATGTCTCCTTTTGAGGTACTTTCATTCCTCAAATTCTCATTTTTAAGGTAATATTAAAGGGACTGGTGAAGTGGCTCTAGTAGAAAAGCATTCGTCTAGCAAGCACTGGGCCCAGAGATAAGGTAATGTGTGTGTGTGTGTGTGTGTGTGTGTGTCTGTATCTGAGTGGGTTTTGTGGTGTTGGTGGTCAAACCCAAGGCCTCAAGATGCAAAGCACACACTCTACCACTGAGCTCTACCCCCAGCTTGCTGATGTTGCTTTGAAGGAGGGCCTCACTGCAGAACTCTTTTAGTCCATTCCATTCATTCATTCATCTGTTCGCTTATTAACTTAAAAAATCCATTGAGCACCTACTCTTGCTAGGCGCACTGCACCAACGATGCAGAGAACAGGTGGAAGGGGATCCCAATGCTGGCTGCTAAAGGGAAATCTTTCAACCAGAGTCTACACTCTGGAAACTAAGACATCCGTGCAAAACCTGTGGCCACACGTGCTCTCTGATGGAGGTCAGAACAGCAGCATCCACCCTGAGCATCTCTTTGATACAGTGATCAACATCTCTGTTTACACATGAGGAAACTGAGGCATAGAGAGGTTTACCCAATGTTATGTAGCCAGTAAGTCAGAAAGCCAGCAATTTCATTCTGACCTGCAGAAGTAGCCTGTGTGAGCGCTATGTTAGGGAGTCTAGCTGCATGGGAGACACCAGGTTTTGTCATTTCATTCTCCTAAGCACCCTATTAAAGTGATGCTCTGCCTCCTCTACAAGCTATTTGCACATGTAGGCATCAGGGTCCAAATTTCCCTTTTTTAATATGTATCCTATTCATTGGATGAGGGCCCACTCTAATCCAGTGTGACCTTATTTCCAGGGAAGGTCACATTCACAGGTACTACAAGCTATGACTTAAATATTTTTTTTTTGAGGTGGGCAAAATCCAACCTAGTATAGGGCCCAAAGGAGGAAGTGTGTGAGGTGCCCCAAATAGTATAAAATATGCTACAGAAATAAAAGGTCATTCCAAGGTGTTTGGTTAAAGGAATCCTAAAATTGAATATGTTTACAAATGAAACTATCTCCTCTAGTATTTATGTTTTGCATAAACTCCAAGAGTTTCCAATAAGGGTTTTGCTGAAAGTAGTTTCTCATCAAGTGGGAGAAAACACTTTTAGCAATTGGGCTTCCTCACTACTTCTTGGGAAGGTACCACGGAAGAGACACATACTCTCCTCCGCAACATCTTTTTTTTTTTTGATACTGGGATTGAACTCAAGGCCTCATGCTTGCTATTTGGCACTCTACTACTTGAACTAGTAGTTCAAGTATTTGTTTTTTAAATATGTTCTTGCTAACTTTGGCAGCCTGGCTTCCAACTCAAGATCTTCCTGTCTTTGCCAATTGAGTAGCTGGGATTACAGGCATTCCACACCATCCTTTGCAAGTTATTGAGAGATTATTTCCCTTCTGCTCCCTCTTGTCTCAGGCTTCTATAGTTGATTCTAACCACAGACCAAGTTAGTCTCCAACTTCAAGCTTCTTCCCTCTCCCTTCTACCTTAACTCCCACCACCTAGATTTTCATTAATCCAGCTAAGAAAGAGGTTCCAGTTGTACCCTGAAAGGTGGGTACGTTGCAGATGATTTAGGATCTGCATGTTATGGAGGGAAGTGGTGGCCGGAAGGAGGCCAGTATTTTAAAGGCAGGAGCGGGAGAGAAGAGCCAGGCAGCTTGTGCAGAACTTTGGCTGGGAGACCTTGTTCAGTCATAGAAGCCCAGACTATCTGAGCAAGGGATTATCTCTAAATAATTTTGTTTTACCGCACTGCAGTCCATGTTGGGTCATGGAAGACTTAAAGACTTAAAGATTCAATGGAACTATGAGCTCCAGCTCAGAAAAATACATAAATGTCCACAAAAAAAGTTGAGATAAATTAAACAGCTTCATTGATCCCCCTCTTGAAGCCACTGCTAAGAACCCCTGATCTAAATACTCTCCCCACCCCCTTTCTCCTGAGAAGACAAATGAGCAAGGATAATTATTTGTTTCCACATTGTGCCACTATTTAGTGTAAATCCTGGTACTCTTATTCTAACCACTATACAGAGTTTGTTTCCATTAAGCAAATGTGACTTCTCCCATCGAAGAAGCAGAATGTTTAAGACTACTTTGCTTTATGGGGGAAGGAGGAAGTGTGGGGATGGCAGTGGCAGTGCTAGTAGAAAGGGCCCTTGGGCCCCCACATCTGTAAATGAAATTCAGAACTTGCAATGCAGACATTTGAGGTGGCCCTAGGATCCCATGACTGCTGGGATTACTGAGAGCAATCCCTTGGGATTCTGGCTTTGAAGGCCCTTGTCCTCCAGTCAGAAAGGTAAGTGGCCTGTGTTCTTAGAAGGCGTAAGGGAAGATGGAGGATGTTCTTGGACTTGGATCCTGACTAGATCCTCTTGAGGCCATGGGAGAAACAAAGTAAATCCCGGATTTGCTATGATGTGGGCTGACATCTAGTGGGAGAGCACCTCTTTTGCCAAAAAGATCGAGGATTCCACGGGCAAACCTTTTCTACGATCGTCTCTTTTTCTCCTGCCAACATCCAAAACCCTTTAGATTCTGGGGATCTAAAAAAAATGCCGTTAACCGAGCCTCAATTCAGGGAATTTTATTGGGAAAATTCTATGTAAGAGCTTCTTAGAATGGGGAAACCTCACAGATTCCGGGCAGGTCTTAAACTGCGGATGTCCAAGTCTTGGGGACCCTCCCCTCATTGTGTTCAGGCAGCATTTTGGAGTTCTCAGAATAGGAGATCTGCGATTGGGGGCAGGGTTTGTACGAGGGGGTCTCCAGCAGCTCGGGGGCTGGCCGTGTGCCCGGCCTAGCTCCGCGTCCCCTACCGAGCTGCGCCTGAGCCTCGGGGGCACCGGGAGAGGGGCCAGCGCCGCGTCCCCGCCCGGAGGCCGGTGGGAGCGGGACCCCTGCCCTCCGCCCATCCCTCTGCTCGCCGCCGCCTCCCCGAGGGCTGTCCGGGAGAGGAGAGGCAAGAGGGGCGGGCCTCGCAGTGGCGCGGGCCATGGCGGAGCGGGCGGCGGCCGCGGGGCCCCGGTGAGCCGGGCCGGGCGCACGGGCGGAGCGGAGCCGGAGCCGTCGGGGCCCCGCGACGTCCCCCCGGGACTTGGAGCCGGCTGCGGGGCGGCGCAGGCCGGGCGGCGCGCGCGGAGGCGGAGGGGGAGGGGCATGCCCGGTTGGAGCCGGGCTCGGGGCGCGCCCCGGCCGTCGTCCCCACCTCCGCCTCCTCCTTCTCCTCCTCCGTCTCCTCCTCCTCCTCCTCTTCCAGTCCCGCCGCTGCTGCAGCCAACATGGCTGCGCTCCGGAGCCCGGGAGGCGGCCGCTGCTGAGCGCCGCCCGCCGCCCCGGGCCCCGCCGCTCGCGGCTCCCGGCGCGCTAGGCGGCCGCCCAGGTTTGCCCGCCGCCCGCCGGCCTCGGGGAGCCGGGGCGCCGTCCGGCGGGGCGGGGCGGCGCGGCTCGGCCCGCCACCATGGAGCCCCAGCGCCGGGAGCTGCTCGCCCAGTGTCAGCAGAGCCTGGCCCAGGCCATGACCGAGGTGGAAGCCGTGCTCGGGCTGCTCGAGGCCGCGGGAGCGCTCAGCCCCGGCGAGCGGCGGCAGCTGGACGAGGAGGCGGGAGGCGCCAAGGCGGAGCGGCTGCTCAAGCTGCTCCTGGCCAAGGAGCGGGACCACTCCCAGGACCTGCGCTTGGCGCTGGAGAAGACGCAGCCTCACCTGCTGCCCATTCTCTACCTGAACGGTGTCGTCGGACCGCCGCAGCCCGCCGAGGGCGCCGGTGAGTGGCAGACCCCCGCCGCCGCCTCTCCGCAGTTCGCCCAGGGGGATCTCGCCAGGGCCACCACTCTACCTTGGCGATGGCCTGCGGGTGGCATCGTCTCTGCTTTTAGCTCATCTGGGGAGGGGGTGATGCCTGGACTGCGAACTAATACCTCCTCCCCCAGTCCCGCTGGTCGCTGTGAACAAAGCTACCCCCTCCCCCCAGTGAAGGCCTTACCCTTCCAGGTGCCATGGCTGCAGGGTCCTCCGGGAGCTACTAGGTCCTGTCTCGGGGTGGGGGCTGGGGGACACCTCTGAAGGATGTGAGTCAACTCCTTTTCTTAGGCTCTTCACCGTCTGCTAGTCTTTTGGGAGCCGATGCTAGCCTTTTTACCAGTGGTACAATCTAGAAGAGGGGAACCCAGGCCAGGACCACCACTCCCGCCACCCATTTCAGGACCACTGGTGACATTTTACTTTGTGACCGACCCAGCTTCCTTCTCCCTGCCCCTAGGAACTCAATCTCTTAGCTGGCCCAGACTTGTGGTTGATTATGCACAATGCCTGCCCAGGTTTCTTTGGAAACTATGGGCCCGGAAAAGTTGGGGAAGTTGCATTGCACCATGGGAAAATCCTAGTAGTGATTGCTGGGGCTCAGTTCCCTCCCCAAGAGCACTGAGCTGCCTGAGGAGGAAGGCTGGTGACTGGTTCCCTTGCATGGTGCCCTTTGGCACCCCTGTTCCTGCTCTTGGAGGTGACTGATTTGTAAGTGTGTGTGCAGGGGGGAGGGGCACTGTGGGAGTCTGTGACTAGTGGTAGGCTTGTTCTGCTGGGTTGGGAAGTGTGGAAGCCAGTCTTTTAGACAAGGAAGAAGGCATAGCAACAGAGAAGAGCTAACATTTATTGTGCACACACTGTTGTAGCAGTCACTCTGCCTTATCACATTTAGTTTTTGTTAATACCATGTGAACTAGCTATTATTCCTGTTTTGCTGGAGGGAATACTCTGGCTTGGAGTGATTAAAATGCTCAGAAAGTATGGGGCACCAGAAGTTTTGAATTATGATCTATTTTATTTAACACATTCAGAGCCAGGGAACAGCAAGTCCATCTTTTCTGGGCTTTGACCTTGTTTTATTGATATAGATATAATAAAAACAATAAAGATACACATATAAAAGAAAAATGAGCTGAAAAGAAGAGAGAAATGAAAAACTGACCTGAGCAGCTTGTGAGCCAAAGGCTGAGGAGACCCATTTATATGGCCGTTAATAGCTTTACTTATTAAGGGAGTGATTTTATAAGGTGTTCCTGGTAGCAGCTCTCATGTACACAGGCCATCTCAACCTCGCTTTTTATAGCTCAAGGAAACTGGCATAAAGAGAGGCCAAACTGCCTACACATAGCAGGTCATTTTATTGGTGTCTCCCCCTTGTGCTTCCAACTCCTGCATCTCTGCCCCTCAAACCTGTATTCTGTCTCTGCAAATGTGGTTGTATCAATGAGTTGCTGGGCAAAGCTAGTCCTTTCTTGGGATTGTGCTTTGGAAGATGCCAAAAGAAAGGCCAGTCTGATGCAGCCCTGAGGAATGGATGGAGGATGGTCTTGTCAGGCTCATTTTTTTCTTTTTCATTGCTTCTGTCTATTTACTTTTGAAGGAGGAAGTTTATCAAAAATCTCCTTCCACAAGTCTTTCCATGGAAGCATAGAAGTTAGAGTGCAGACTAGAAGTCCTCATTGGGATGAGTGTGCATGAGCTCTAGCTTTTATGTCTGGACTGGAGAAATTAGTGGATGCATTGCTATAAATTAGGACCTACCCTTTCCATTCCTGCTGGAGAAGGTGGGGCCTCTGAGGGATGAAGTTCTAAGAGCTAGGAAGAAATGGAATAGGGTTTGCATTTATCCCCAGGGCTATGACTTCAGACCCTTTTTCCCACAGTGCAGAGTTCTGTGGCTTTGAAGAAGGTCAGGAAATCCTTAGAAAAATGATTTTAAGTGGAAAGTTAAGTACATTTTATCAAATACTATATATAGTATTAGGTATGATAGGATAACATTTGGTATGACAGGATGCCGCCTGGAGCCTCTTGGGGAAAGGGTGACTGATGTGTGTGTGTGTCTTTGTACAGGATGCATTATTCTGCATTGGTTTCTAATTCCCTCCCCATTCCCCCCCCCAGTGTTAGGGATTGAACTCAGGGCCTCTCGCATGGTAGGCAAGTGTTCTGTCTCCAGCCCCAATTTTTTTTTCTTTTTTCTTTTACCAGGGAGCTTGTCTCATGGGGCAAAGCTCAAGTACATAAAAGAGCCACTCCGTTGGAGTGGGTGGAGGCACTGGTCTTATCCCCAAAGGGCACAGTCAGGGAAACCCAGTGCTGCCTCCAGCCTCCTTCCACCCCCCTGCACATTCCGTCCTGGGTGCAGGCTCACAGCTCTGTGAGGGAGTCAGCCTCGCTGGGAGCCCCTTGTGCCTGTGAGAGAGGAACCAGCTAGCTTTCTCAGGACCCATAGTGTCAAGGGGAGGTCACTTTGTTACCACCTTTCTACGTTGGAGGTGGTGCCATTACCCCCCTAGGACTTCCTTGTTGGACTCCACAGCCCATGTAGGCTTCTGGTCCAGAATTCCTATTCCTGGCAAGCACTTATATGCTGTGGAAATCTGTGGTGCTGTGGGCCAAGGGTGGCTGGCAGCCCATATGGTACCTAGAACCTGAAGGGACCTGGGGAGAGCATGTGCCTCTTGTTGCTGGTCAGGTGAGCACACCAAACCCATCTGGGCGACTCATGCCTACTTAGATCTCGGATATTTGTGACCCACCATGCTCAGGCCTGGGGGTATGGAGGTGACTAAGAAACATAGGTGCCGGTGTTGAGTTTTTGGTGGAAGGGACTCTTACTTCAGGATTGCTGGTATGTTGCTACTTAGCATTTTTGTCTCGAACTTTCCCATCTTACCAATTCTGTGGCAACCCCAAAGCAGTGTCATATTGTCTTCACTCTGTTGGGTTCCAGGGCCCTGCCTGCAGGTATGAAGAAAAGGGGCCAGAGGCCAGGCCCCTTGCTCTTGATTTCTTGTCTGTGATTTTTCCTGTTACCTGACCAGGCCTTCCCACTGTGATTTCAGGACATGTCTTGTCATTGTGGAACTCTATAATCCTGTAGCTTTTTCTTGACTCTGACACATGGATCTGTAGGGAAGAGGTGAACACTTTTGCCCCAATTGGTGGCAGGGAGAGGTGAAATCTACTCTTTTCTTCCAAGTGACTCAGGTCCCATGGTTTTTCTCCTATCAGAGTCTTTCATTCAGTTATAAAATTGGAGCCTCTCCCTTGAAGACCTTCTACTGCTGCCTCTGGGATGAGACTCAGTGCCTTTACCTGTAAGGTGGTGCTCAGGGTGCCCTGCTGCCTGCTGCATTCTCTGGGAGGGCAGAATGTACTGGCGGAGGATTGAAGTGGCTGGTTCTGTACCAGCCTGGTGGGCTGTCATGCAGGCAGGCAGGGGTACCTAGATGTGATCTCAGCTTGTGACTTACTGCCTACTGGGGGGAGTAGGAAACTTAGGAGAGTGACATCATGAGCCTCATCATTAAGTGATATAGACACACAAGCAGGCTTTCTTCTTTATGAAATGCTCTGTATACTATATATTGTCCCTACATACTCTCACCCAACCTCAGTTGCTATAGCTGCCACCTAAATGTTGGGGCCTCTCAACCTCATTTCATGCCAGTACTCTCTTAAGAGACAGAAGTGGCAGCAGTTAGTAGTTGCTTACTGACCCCTGCACTTGTGTGTTCAGAGCTGGATGAATGTTTCCTTCTTGTTCTTTTCTGTTCTCTCTCCACTGCACTTGTGCGTGCCTCCTCTTTAGCTTCCTACTGAGAAGCTGATGTTCCGTCACCAAAAAGAGAATGAGACAGCAGGGTCTGCTGGAGAAGCCTGGGAAGGCTTTGAGGTTGGCCTGGCACTTGGGCTGGAGTTGAAGGGGAGCTTGTAATATACAGAGGGACAGAGAGGAGGATGTTCTGGGCAGCAGGCACAGAAAGAGCTGTGCATTTCTAGGCTGCAGAAATTAGACCAGCCTGTGCAGAGAGAGGGCTGGCATTGGCCCTGGATGGAAGGGAGTTGGCAATGCAAAAATAACATGGAGGACTGTATCCTTGGGCTGAGCCAGAGGTGTGGATTTACTTGGAATTTAGGCATTGCAAAAGTTATAGCTCGAAGACTGTGTGTGTATGTGTGACTGAGGTTTGAACTCAGGGTTTCACACTTGCAAAGCAGGCGCTTTTACTACTTGAGCCACAACGTCAGTCCATTTTGTTCTGGTTATTTTGGAGATGGGGTCTTGAGAACTATTTGCCCAGCTGGATTGAACCACAGTCCTCATAATCTCAGTTTCCTAAGTATCTAGGATTACAGGTGTGGGCTACCAGCACCTGGCTTTCTTCCTCCCTCCCTCCCTTCCTTCCTTTATTCCTTCTTTTTAAAAGGACTAACGCTGCCAGGTTCTTCCAGCAGGACTAGTATAGTTGGCTGTGGGTTGTTAGATGCGGGTTATTTATTATTCAGTAGAGGTTACCGGGTCTTTTGTTGTCTCCTTATTCCCTTTGGGCACCAGCCACCTTTTCTTCACCCACTCTGCCCTGGAAGGTCATCAGAGGAAGGGGCAGAAATAAAAGTTCCAACCATTGTAGTCTAACTTACTTCCTTCCTTCCTTCCTTCCTTCCTTCCTTCCTTCCTTCCTTCCTTCCTTCCTTCCTTCCTTCCTTCCTTCCTTCCCTCCCTCCCTTCCCTCCCTCCCTTCCTCCCTCTCTCCCTCTCTTCCTCCCTCCCTCTCTTCTTCCTTCTTCCTTCTTCACCGTGTAGCCCAGGCTGGCTTCAAACTCATGATGCCTGCCTGAATCTCCTCAGTGCTGGGATTACAGGTGTGAGCCACCATGCCTAGTTTCTTTTGGATTTCTAAATTGTGTTATTTGAAAAAAAAAAAAAGTGGCAGAGGACCTTGAAGTAATAGT